CCCAGAAAATTTCATATCTATCTGGGGCAAAAAGAATAAAGATTTACCAAACCAGTCAGATAAAATTCCCCTAAGCTTATTTCAAGTTCTTTGGAAATTTTTAGCATGTAGTACTGAATTTGATGATAATTAGTCCAAGCATTAGCAATGAGAGAATCAATTTTGTTTTCACAAGAATTAAAGCCATTCAGTTTTAGATCAGAAAAGTGCGCTAAGGGCAGTCGAAAAAATTGCTAAGAAACCTTGAATCATAGCAGCTTTACCAGAATTACAACCTCAGAGCATGTTCAAGGATTCAACTTCAACAGTAGTGAAGGGAAGAAGAAACAGATCACGTGTCCTGCTGCCATGGCTTTTGTACTCAGGCATTGATTGATGATCACAAGACATGCTCTCCAAAACCAGTTCTAATCATCAGCACAGCAGCCAGTACTGGACACAGCATGTAGTTTCAGATTTCTGGATCAACGGTTCAAACTGAATGACAGCATGTTCGGTAATCAAATTAAGCCTGCCATGAAGCCAATTACCTTAAAACTATTTACTCAAATTTCTCTACAAATTTCATTTACATTTGATATAGATAATCCTGTATGTTGTTGAATAGAAAGATTTTTGTTACAAGGGTATTCAAATATTTGATTTTCCATACCATCTGAATCAGCTCCTCCAATATTGTTGAGAAAGTGAAGGCATGACAGTCGCCAAAGAGGCAACAAGCGAGGTGCAGGAATCAATAAACATCTTCAATTGTGTAAATTACATTGCAACTAGATAATGTTCAAGTGAGGAGGTTGATAAATTCAATAGCAGTAGCTACAGCCCCAGCTGTGATAGTATCCTTGATAATCTTGTCCGTTCCATTGTTGCTGGCTGCTGAAATGAGGAACCCTGTTATCGCACCACCAAGCATTGCATTCTTCTGCCAGAGCAAGAACATGTTAATGCAAAGCCTATGATTCAACCAACAAAGTAGAGAGATCTGCTCTGTTATAATTTAATCTTCTGGTTCACTGGAACAGGAACTACACAAATTTATAGCTGAGGGTCTGTTATTTACTATTCCTACTGCCATTACCATTTTTACACCTGTTTCAGTCATGTGAAATTTCAAAATTTTCCATTGCATAGATTACTGATTCATACCCTCCGGTTACCTTATACAAATAACAATGATAGATCATGCTCATTTTGTTTGATCAGATATATAGCAATAACAGATTGGTACCATAAGTTTATAACAGTGTATAATTTCAATCATACTAGATGTACTCCCCGTGCATAACTATCTCTTCAAACTGTTAATAAAATTATATTAATACAACACATCCAAATGAGAAACAATTGAGAAGTCTACCAAGGAAGAAATAAATAATTAACTCAACAAATGTTGAAACACATCCTAGCATAGGCAGTCATAGATTACCCAGGTTCTTGTACCACTGATCCTTTCGATATTATGCTCCACTCCTACATACACACTGGTCACAGTTCCTGTATTGAAGTGTGTGGCGCACGAACATAACAAAGTAAACACCAGTTTTATACCAAATAGGAAATATGGTGCAAATATGCAGCAATAAATTTCATTGACTTTGAGAACTTAAAAGTTAAGATTACCCCAATATACTCCTTCTTTACACATCCTCTTTAGCTGCAATTGTAGCAAATGGTCAGTGAAAATAGAACATGCCTTTTATGTTCATTTTTTTTTAGGGTAAGAATAAATAAAACAAACCATTCATAGCTGATTTATGATGGAACCTCCATAAACCGTCATTTTTATACAACACAAATGCATTTAAGGGTTAGGTCCATAACCAGGAAATACATTTTAGGTATCAAGATAGTGCTTACAGTACAAAACTAGTTATTTGTTATTTGGCATGCATAATTTCATGTCATTTATTGAGTTCAGATTATTAATCAGGTTGAACAAGGATTCAGTTTCATCATCTCATGAGCATGAAGCAGAGACTCTATGTTGCCTCTAAGTTTTCCAGTCTGAGTGTTACTGATAACTAAGCTTGTAATACAATCTCAAAAGAACATGAGAACAAATAAGGAAAATCCCAACTCAGTCATTCAAGCAATACAAATTTTAGAAAGCCAACATTTTAAAATAAGACCTTATTTACATGCGAGTTGTTTTATCAACGTAAATGGCATTCATCCAGAGTAAGTGGTCATAGCATAGCCTACATTCTGTATTGGTTCCATATTTACTAAAGTAACAAGGACTTATCTGTCAAAGAGATCCAGCTTGTGTCATTATGTATCAAGTGATAATTAAAAAATTTAGCTGGAGATAAAAATGCCTTAGAATCACTTTCTTTTTTGGCTAATTGAGAAAATAGTCAGTGAGACATAGACTTACCTAACATGGAAAGGCTTTGAATCCCATTCTTCATCAAACAAAAATCCAGTAAAACACTCAATTTACTCATGGGAATATACATTACACAGGTATTAAAGAAAAGATGGAAGCTAATGCAGAGTATCTGGAACCTATTGAAGACCAAGATACAACAACATTATTGTTTAACCACAAAATGAAGAAGAAACAAGACATTAGAGGCCTGCTTTTAGTTGAACAATGTACAAACATTTTAAGCAGGACATGGAAGTCTTTTTCTTTTGTTTTTCTTTTCACAAAATGTTGTTAGAATAAGAAACAGAATTACATTGACATACTCGAATAATTTCACTAAAAAATATTTAATTTTGACAAGCTCTAATTGACTTCACACTGGTGAAAGAACCACAAGATAGACATTACATTAAGCATGGACCTGATGTTTGACAAATTAACAAAGCAATCCAGTTTGTACTTACAGCATCCTCAAATTTTCTTTTGCTGATGCTTCCTGAAAAAATATAACCACGCAAGTCACATTTGTGAAATTAATAACTCAGATCTTATAATTTGATCAAAGATACTTTTAGGTTTGCTTTGAGAGGGAATAAGGTTTAAAATAGGTAAAAGAAGATCATAGCATGACCTTTTGCCAATGCAGCAAACAAGCAGAAATTTCATGAGCAAATAAATTAACAAAGAACTTTGCATGTTAATTATGAAGATAGAAATGTATGGAAGTCGAGATTGCATATGAACTGGTCAATAGCATCAAATGGACTCATCCACCAAGCTAGTGCTGGAGTTTTCCATAATGGGCCAGTGACTAGTGACTTATGATATTCATGGTATCCAGGTATTATATACCAAGACAACTAGAGGATTTTCAAACTTTTGTTGAAAAAGACCGACTCCAACGATAACTTGCACAACTTGCAAATTAACGTGTACAAGTGGCACTGAGGACTACGTGCTTATCGAGTCTCCAACATGTGAAACATTTCCATGATGATCAATTATGCTGGATTTGCTGCAGATCACCAGTGGTTTGTTGCAAAAGCATAGTCAGTCTCTCCAACTCAAATTGGATAGCAGAAATAATCACATCACTATGAATGACTCATCATCGTAAAAGCATCATCTATTTATTAGAGACGAAAAAACATAAGTGTGTGCATTCAGGATCTTAGAGGCATAAAGTACGCTAATTACGTTTCTTGAGAGTGAAAAGAAATCACTTTTTGATTATAATTGTTAGACCTTGTTCCAACAAAACATTCAACAGCATAGAAACCGCCACAAATGCTAGCCAAGTTAATTCTTTGATTCCTAACCAAGCTATCATCTTCTACTCACAAAACGATCAAGAATCGGCGTCAGTAATCCTCTAATTGCATTTGACATTGATGTCCATATCAGCGATCAAAACGGAGACCAACTTACCTGCACCAATCCAATCAATACCAATACTTGAGAAAGAGCAGTAAAATCAGTAAAAGGGCAAAAGAAAGCACAAATCAGGATTAAGCGGCCGCAGAGCAACCTTTCCGCACGCATTGATAGGCTTCCTCCGCAGCAACCCTGGAAGCAGCGACCTGCGTCAGCGGCAAAAGATCAAACACGTTTGATGGAGGAAATAGGGGTCAAAGGGGAAAGAAGGGGACGGGCGAGATAACGCAATTAGTTACAGTTCCGATCCTGAGGAAGCCATCGACGGTGCGGTTGAGAAAAGGATTGCCCATGTCGACGGTGACATAGACCTCGGGCGCAGTGATGGAGCCGGAGAAGGTGCTCCTCGGCATCTCTCGCCCGCTTGGTTGCTCACCTGCTGCTTTACCTCCTCGGAGCCCTCTACCACCTATCTATCTATCAACAAGACACGGAGCACAAGAGAAGAGACTGAGAGAACGTGACGAGGAAACCAATTCCGGCGCTTGCATCAAGTTCGTCCCTTGCTGGGCTGCTTTGCTTGCGACGCCCGTTTCCATCTCCTCCGCATCAAGTCGGTGGTTTGTGGGAAGGGCTAATTACATATTAGTCCCTATAATTAAAATTTTTTTAAATTTATATTATTTTTATATTTAGAAAAAAAATATTTATCTTTATTTATCGATTTTATTAATAAAAATATCATATGTAATCAATGGTAAATCGAAACGAGATAAAGTCAACACATACTTAGTGATAAACTCTTGATATTTTTACCGATAAAATCATGTAAGGAAAAATATAATTAAATATTTTATTTGTATAAATATAGATATTTTAATATAATTTTTAAAAATATAGAGATCAAAATACTAAAGATAACTAATTATAAGGATAATTAGCTCATGAGAAGGTCATATGAAAAAGTTTACATTCTATCAACCCTAATATTAATTTGGACTATATGAGTTTGTACGATAAATTTGGACTAATTTAAATTTATTACTAATAGACTCCTAAAAAAATCCTTAAAAAATCTTTATAAATAAGTATAATTTCAATAAAAGAAGAGATAAAAAAAGATGTTATAGTCTGAAAAATAAAACTACTACCATTAATAATAAGATATAGATAGAGAAAGACGTAAAAGATTTATGTCTCCTACTTCAAATAATTAAGATTTTACTATCTTAATTTTTTTATTATTATTATACTGATAGTCCTCTATCGACCTAATTATTTAAAAGATGTTGGAGCTTATGTTAGTAATAATAGACATGACAATTGGGGAGAAAATTAAGTAAACTTTGCCAAGCAAGATGGCAGCAGCACTATCACACACATGCATGCCTCTTCCTGGTCACACATTCACTGCATGCAGAGAAATCATATGAAGCTTAGCTTAAAGATGGACAATCACTTCGTAAGATATAAAGCTCTAGAAAGTGAAGTATCTGCCATCTAAAACTCCACAGCTTCCCATATCAGGCATCAGAATCCCATAACAAAGCTGAAAGTTCATTTCAGCTGCTTGGGATTATGTCAGTATTACTAGTGAAAGAGACCAGTCTGTTGTATGAGTCTCTTGATCATAACAAATGTAATTATTAGGCATCGGAGTCCCTTAACAATGTTAAAAATTCATTTCAGCTACCTCCTGTGATTATGTCACTATTACAAGTGAGAGGACAATATGTTGTATGAGTCTCTCGATCATAACCAAGTACAAAAAACTGTGAATCATGGATTAGATTTCTGTCCACCCATTTCAAACAAAATATTTGCATGAACAAACATGAGCCAAGCTCAAAAAAATTGAGTAGATTGCTCTATGTTACAGGTAAGTGTATGTAATTAGCCCAAAACATGTGCCTTTCATTGGTTATTTGCAAAAACTAACCAACTGAAAGAATTGACTCTAAAAATTGGAACTTCAATGTGTGTCTGCCTCCAAATAACGGCGTCATATTCTCAGTATTGCTGGGTGCGAAACTCTTTTCCACCTTATTTGATTCTGGAATGAAAAAGGAAGTGCTATACACCTCAATCAGCAGCTACGCAGGGAGAGCCTCCATCTCTCTGATTTGATTGTCCGTTTCTTGTCATTAGTAGCAGGCTTTAGCAACCTTTCTGATTCAATTTCCAACTCAAGCGAGGCTTTCAGCCTTTGTAGATGTCCGACACACTGTCTATGATCAGAACTACAATTTTGTTGGTGCTTCTTATCCACATTGTGTTTCCTCTCATACTTGGAACACCACTTTGCTTGTAAATAAGCCAGTGATCTCCATGGAGGCAGCGGCATTGAATTCTGCTTGAGGGAAAATTTTGCAGCATCGACCATGACCTGCAAGATCTGTTGAAGTCTGGGAAAGGAGCCAACAAAGACTACCGGTAGGGAACTCAATATAGCATCATAAGATTCAACTGCCCTTGCTATTTCAAAGTAGCTGCGAAAGTCAATGTCGATGATCAAATGCTTGGAATCCCCACCATCACTAACAACCACATCGATATATTCATGATCTCCTGTCATAACAAACAAAAGGGGCGAAAAGAGCGCAAAATTAGTTTTGACAGCTTCAAGGACCTGCATGAAGATTATCTGAGACAAAAAGCAAGGCAATTATATGTACCTCCAGGAACCTTGTCAAAGCCTTGCCATCTGGATGAGCATACAGCAGCATCGTAACCAGAGAGTTTCAGGAGCTTCACCAATGACTGCCTTATACAACTAGCATTACATTGCTCTTCCTTGACAAGATAAAGGTCCACTTCATCAATAGAAAAGAGAAGGGAACCGACAATGGATTGCAAATCATTCTCATATTGAGTCACAGCACGTTTATATAACTACATAGCAAACGACATAAGTTTATTAGTGCTTTTACAAGGTGAGAATCACATGTTAGCTGTGCTCTATCTCACATAAGGTTAAAGGCAAATCTCAAATGGAACTATGTTCACCATAGTTTTTGAAACAAATCAGAAGAAAAGGAGTAGATGTGTTGAATGAACAACAAATCAGAAGAAAAAGAGTAGATGAACAACAAGAGTGACAAGGAAAATTTTATAGAACGAATACCAAGCCAATAAGTAGATAGCAATGCAATTAATATACTCAGGTCCCAGATCATCAAAAATAGCATCATTGAAACTCCGAGGGTCACTGCAAGTACTTGCTAACCGCTATCGAATACATAAACTATACTGATGATGGATTTTAAGAAAAATTAAACATTAACAACTTGTTCTACCTCATTGGGAGTTGCACTATTATTCTTAGATCCCTACCTCTCAGACAAGCATATACAGCTAAAAAGCCAAAAAAACTACAATAGAGAACTTCAAATAGACTTAAACCAGTCATTTACCATATCTTGTTCATAACAATAGAAACATTGGTATGGGCAAACCTATGAACAAAGCCTCCTCCGACATACATGCAAGAACATATGAATGATGAGAATTTTATGTGCTTGATCTTGAGGCTTCTGTGGTCTAAGGCAAACTGAGAAGCTTCTTCACGTGGGATGAGTGAATTGATATACAAAAGACTCTTAAATATGAATGAGAATTGAGAAGTATAACTACTGCATGGAGAGCAACCTTTTCATCCCTTCTAAATAGAAGACCAATCAATCGAAGATAATACCATCAATTGTTTACAGATCAGATAAGACATATTGCGAACACTGCATAAGCCTAATATCAATCAATCAATCAACAGGGCAACTAATTCAAGTTCGGCAATCATGACTGATGCATAAACTCACTCAATTCATCAGAAAGAGTTAATGCACATAAGACATTCAATTGGGCAAGTACTAAAGTTTCTATCTTTAAGCTCAGGTATACCATCAACAGAAAGACTTAAATCTCCGCCAGCGGAAGTGTTCTTATATCAGCCAAGAATTCCAGCAAGTTTTCCCTTTTATCATGAGAGGACTGAAAGCTAAAAGAATGAGATAATTACTCGAAAGGCAAGTGGTATACATCTAAAGGTAAAAAGAAGAGGAAGAAGAGGAGGAAGAAGAAGAAATCAGGATAATTAAAGAATTTGACGACTAACCAAAACTTTCTCAGCAAGGTGAGCAAGTTCTGAGAACCGAGAGTCGCTGTCGCTGCTATAACGTGACTCGGCGCTGCCGCTTCCGTTCTCCAAGAAATCACATACCATCACTGCCAAATCGTGCTCGCTTTCGTGACTGAACCCACCACTCTGGCCTATGACATCCCTCCCCTCCCCACCATTGAGCCTAGCCCACATGTCACCGGTGGCACTGCAGATCCGGCAGTCGTCCTCTCCGCCGCCACGGGACCCGCCGACGGGCCGCCGATCCAACGCCCGGGGGCACTGCTTTGCCGGCCACCGCCGAGCCAGCGCCGGCGCGGACGGGGTCTCCCCTACCCAAACCCCAACTTCCGGAGATAGGAGCATGGCAAACGGCGCCCGACCCCTTCTTCGATCCAATCAGGCAAACTTTTGACCTAAAAACCCAGTTTTTTTCAGAAGCAACAAACCTGAGTCCAATTCGTCCACAATAAAATCCAATTTCCCGATTCCGACAAAAGTTTTCAAGTAAAAGAGAAAAAAAATTTAGGAATCGCTGGTTCAAATCTTGGAATTGTGTTTTTGGGATCCAAATGGGGTTTTTGGCGGAAGAAGGCCGCGACAACCCAAAAGGACGAGAGAGACGGTGGAAGGCATCGGAAACGACGGCTTTAAATAGACGAGGAGTAGGCTATGGAAGGACTAAAATGGCCCTTCGAGAGCGTTTTGATGTGTCTGTTAAACGGCCGCGTGGCCCAAAGCCCTTTTGGCGAGTTGACAGGTACGCGCTACGGGAAATCGAGGCCGTCTGTTCGTCATCAGACGGTACGTCTCCGATCTCTCACGGGGTTGTAGGTTGCTTTCTCCCCCTTGATCGGGGTCGGATGTTCCTGCAACGGCCTGGGCAGGAAACACGTACCGACTCACCATGTCGGAGATGGCCCCCATTCGAAAACCGGCAGATGGTGTGGGACCCACTTTTTTTAACGAAGGAAAAACGTGTTTCCTGGATCGAGTAGAACAGCTTGTTCATCAAATTGCAACCTGTGGTGGCGGAAGCCGGAGGACACTTCTATTTTTGGATCAGTTGACCGTTCTGGGTTGGTGTCACTGTTACAACTGTGTCCCTAATTTACAGTAGCCAAATAGGGCATGAATTAAAGATGTGACGTCACCGTTACAACTATATATCTAATTTATAATGGTCAAATTAGGCATGAATTAAGGATTAGGTGTTACAGAATATTATTCTTAATTATTGACAGATAAATTGAGGATGTGATAGCCGCATTTGTGTTTCTTGGACCCCATTTAACATCCTTCAAAGGATAATTAGTAGTATCATAATTTATTTTTATGATTTTTGAAAATTATAAGTTTAATTTCACTTGTTTTCTATTAAAATTGATTTCCCTGACAATAAAAGGATATTATTATATTTGGATACTCAGGATAGTCTGTAAAGCTGCAATGATATATTCCCAATATTGTAATATCAACAACATGAAGCACAATAATCAAACTTGCATAGCATTTGGCATTCAAGAAATGTTACAACTCCAGATATTATTAAAATCGTGTTACTAAGACGATCTCCAGAATCATATCTTCATGCTGAAGGTGTTGAAGATGTCCCAATTGTAGACAGAATGTCCAACACAGCATTTAATATGATTAGATACACAGCATTTAATCTAAAAACTGATTACCATCAGACTGAATTCTTATGTTGTTAGCTAATTTACAAAACAATCTAAAGAAATTAGTTTGATATTTGCACATTGGAAGAATTGCTTGCTCGTTGGTCAACGAATGTGTGTCCTTCCCAGGGACCAAACTCCAGTATCACGCACAGGAGCCTACAAGGAAGAATCACGATTAGTCCAGAGAATTCACATAATGTTACTCAAACACGAACTAGATGTTAGATGTTACTGGTGACAATCATGCAATGCTTACTGGCGTTTTCATCGAGGGAAAAACATTCCAAAACCTCAGTGTTTCGTCACCTGCTCCGGTCACTATAGTCTGCAGGAAAGGTAGAGCAAAATGAGTTGCATGTAGCGATTGGTCACAGGGAGGTAATGTCCCCGGCCATTTGTTTAACTTGCCATCAGATGGCAAAAACATGTAGATGTTTTTCATAACAAATTCAAAGGACCAATAAACGGGTGAGGAGACAAAATGTGCTTGAACATTCTTTACCTGTCCATCAGGCGACATTGCAAGGTACAGTACGCGAAGTGTATGGCCTGTTAGAGTTGCTACCTGTATTGTGATGTTTCAGTCAATTAAACAATGCAAGAAAAGTTGGAAGCTAAGTAATAATCAAAAGCTTCACCAAAATTCTAGTCTATAAAAAAACAACTTAAAAATGAAAAAAAAACCAGGAGAATAAGAACACAAATGTGTACAATTCACTAATCATGACAATTTGTTGCCAAATCTCACTTATATGTCATGATATGAAAAATGAATGTGGACTGATGAAATGACATTTCTTTAGGTAAAAGATGGAGATTAAAACCATTTGATATATGTACAAAAATGGAAACTTAATAAAACTTCTTAAAGGATGCCCACAAGTGAAGAGGATACTAAGATTTTCAAAACTCAAAAGATATCATTTGATATGGAGATGGAGATAAAAACCATTTGATATATGAACAAAAATGGAAACTTAACGAAACTACGTAAAGGATGCCCACAAGTGAAGAGGAGAGATACTAGAGTTTTCAAAACTCAAAAGATATCATTTGTGTGTCACATATATACAATATCCTCAAAGAAATAACAAGCCAACCCATCTGGTTTAAAAGATTCAGCTTCAGTTGAGACAGAATATGAGATTTTTAGCCTTGCTGTTTCTGGCTTCTTTATATTGCAATTTTACTATATTAAAAGTACAATTCTTTTCCTTGCCCTAGAAGAATTTTCATTGACTCTCAACATAAAATTTTTGTAAATATTCGGATAAGGTCTTATTCCTCAAATATTCCAAACTTATATTACTGACTAATGTAAATGGCTTTGTAGAATGATGCAGAGTTATTATTTATTGTTACCAAGAAGTCTACCTTGCTAAGAGACGGATACTTCCACACCATGATTTGGTTCTGGGAATAACCATGAGTACTAACTAGTTCATTGACATTTTTACTCCATGCTAGATTGCAGACCTGCAGAAACCAAACCATATAAGCCAGTAATTACACTGGTAACTTTTCATAGCAAAAGATAGATTTTGAACATACTTGACTGCCTGTATCAACACAGTTAAGCATGTTTCCATTACAAGTGTTCCAGAAGCGGATGCACCGGTCAGCTGTTCCACCTCCTGATGCAACAAGGCTATGCTGGTGTGGTGACCAAGTAATGGCTTTAACTGCAGCTGTATGCTCTGTCAGTTTCAAAAGTGGACTTTGAGAGCGCTGGTTCCAAATTAAGAGCTGTTTCATAAGGAAATCAAAGGACCATTGCATTAGACGAAGCAGCAATACATGAATTATTCATGCTTATCATGGGGCCAATTTAACACGGATGAATGAATTATACACTGACCTGATTGTCATTTCCACCAGAAGCTAGTTCACGGTCATCATGAGACCATTTTAATCCACAAACCTGATGCAAACATGATAAGTTTTTTAGAAGAAACTAGGCTAAGAGTTATATAAACCTTCTACAGACAAGATGATTCATTTAAAAGATCAAAGTTCAGAACTATGACTATCCTTAAGTAAATATCAGATGAGTTTATTATCAAATACCAAAGAAAAAAATATCTTTCTTCCTGCAACAAACTTCAAGTGGCATGTATTGAACATTTACCTCAGATCTGTGGCCTACAAGCTTGCTAACAAAGTCGCCTGGAACTCGAAGGTCATGGTGAAGTATGTTCTTGTCTCTACTCCCTGAAGATAAAATACATGAATTCCATGCCAACACTCCAGTTCTTGTTAGATGGCCACCCATGCTCCTAATCTTCTTACACTTTGTGCCATCCCATATCTGTTAAATATATTGTCATGAGTAAAATTGCTAGAACATGGTTGATTATGAAAAAATTCATTGTTCTCATGATATAAGACAAAATTTAAATAATTTTAGAGTTTGTATTGAACAAGATTTTCAACACCAACATAAGAATGCTAATATGGGGATCACCAGCACCATTTGGTTTTAGCTAAATGTTGTACTAAAGAAGATCGAGAGAGTCTCTCTCTCTCTCTCTCTCTCTCTCTCTCTCTCTCTCTCGAATATATATATATATATGTATATATATATATATATGTGTATATATATATATGTGTATGTATATATATATGTGTATGTATATGTATATATATATATGTATATGTATATATATATATGTGTGTATATATATATATGTGTGTATATATATATATGTGTGTATATATATATATGTGTATATATATATATATGTATATATATATATATATGTATATATATATATATATATATATATATATATATATATATATATATAATTTCTGCAGGAAATTGATACACTGATGCCATGTGGTCACTGATTATGGGAAAGCAATCACAATCTGATTGAGATGGCTGCTCATGTGCAAGTAAGACAGAGGTATCCCCTCCTCAGTAACTAACATTACTTGTTCCATACATGGTGAACTCGATTCTTTTTACTGTAGGACTATTGTGGTATTGAAAGTGGTCAACATTACTTGTTCAGTACCTGGTGACCTCTCATTTGTCTACTTAGCTTCAAACTTCTACCAACAAAGTCCAGTCACGTTTCAAAATAATACCAGTAAAGCCAAAGTGTCCCACTATACTCAGAAATTGGAGATAACCAGTAGTACGAACATACCTGGACATCTCCCAGACTTGTTCCGATTGCTATATAAGAGCCTTCCCGGCTCCACTGGATTGCAGATACACCATCTCTATTTCCCAAGTCACACAGTTTCGTCACCTGAGATCATGAGAACAAGTTAGTATATTGTTGATGAGATTATCACTGGTTTAAACTGTACAGATGAGGCATAGCCAGTCTCTCCATGAACCAAATCCACTAAAAGAAGGATCTTTTTTCTTTTTCGTTTTAATCGAGAGCTAGATCGATGGTGATTAAGACCTTGCTTGTGGTTGCAGACCAAAGATATACGCAGGTACCCAATCCTACAGCTAAAGCGTTCTGCGAAGACCAATCGACAAGATTCAGGTAGAAATCATCCTGAAGCGAAGGGGCATCCAAAACCTACAAGACATCGAATCACAGTATTAGCCCTCCCTGTTTTCTGAAATAGAACAAGTCGTATATTTTCCCCCGTTCGCTGCTTATAACGAAACCTCACCTTGTGCGGCGTCTTAGGTATCTTCCGGGGCACTTTGGGGGGCGTGGAGACCTCCACGGCCATGTCATGGGCTGCCACGGTGGTGACCGAGAACGGGGAACTCGGGCCGGAGTGATCCGTCTTGAACCGGAAGAGGTTCTTGTTGGGGCTTATGGGCGATCCCTGGGCGCCCGGGGAGTAGGGAGCGGGGTCGTGTCCGAAGAGCTCGGCTCGTAGCAGCCGGGAGTAGGCGTCGTTGCCGCCCTCTTTGGCGGGGGACGGCTTCTCCGCCAGTGCGAAGTTCTGCAGCCGGGAGGAGGACCGGCAGGGGATGAAGCGGTCGCCGTAGGTGGTCTTGGATGGGGACGGCGTCTTGGGGATGGCCGGGAAGTGGGCGGCGGGGATGGAGTCGAGGCGGAGCGAGGACTCCATGCCGGCCGGGAGGTTCAATCGGCTCTTCCTCGACTCCATCGTTCGGGTCTCTCTCTCTCTCTCTCTCTCTCTCTCTCTCTCTCTCTCTCTCTCTCTCTCTCTTCAAGCTTTCAGTTCTCTGCTTGAGCTTTGATGCTCTTCAGGAGATGGAACGAGAAAGCTGAAGGGTGAAGAGTTCATTCTAGGGTTACATTCCGGTCTTTTAAGCCTTGGCTGAGAAGATGCGGTGGTGCTGCAACGGTCATCCGAGGCGGATCCGAGCATCCATGGTAGGAAGACCAAGTAGCCGTTGGAAGCAGGGAGATCTCATGTGGCAACCAAGACAGGGTGCAGGTCCACCCTAACCCGAACCCAGCCGGGCCCCACGTTCATTCTGCCGGAGGCCCACCTGCGAAGCGAATATGAATCCCGGAACCTTGTGCGCCCCGAAAACAGGCGAGCCGCGGGATCCGCTCCTCGTATCTTAATTAAAATATCGACGGCATCTGACAGGTCAGAAACACGGGCCTGACGTGGGCCCCGCGATCTTGTCACTGGAATCACCACATGGATAGGGAAATGGAACGACGAGACGGGTAGGAAAACGTATTGGTCTCGAGGAGTTCATTCGTTAGTAAATACTGTATTATACCTTCTTTAGGTGTACGACACGGGCCACAACATTAAATCAACAAATGCAATTTTGTGTATGTTACAACATCATAAATACTCGGCTAATAAACAGAAGCACTTGCCATTATACCTTCCTAAAGCATCAGCATCGAAAAATATTGCTCAGATTCTTTGCCAATGGTTGGTTTCCTTGCACCCAATGGACCATCAGCAAGACTGTTTTTGTTCTCCTTCAACACCATGTGCACAATGAGGAGCATGTTTAAGTCTTGCAGCAAAAGGAGAGAGAGAGAGAGAGAGAGAGAGAGAGAGAGAGAGGAAGCAGCGATTCACCTTGCCCAATGCTCCACCTTTGGACGAAAGCAACAATGCAAGCGGTGCCACATCGTCGGAACAGAGCACTAAATCTTCGATCTCTGTTTCTAGTTGTTCCAAGCTGTTCTTCCCTAGTGATGAAATAGTGTAATCACCATAACCCTCAAACTCATGAGCAACCTCCTCTGCTACTTTGTATCTTGAATCACGTTGTTGAACTTCTTGTCCTCCTTGTTGTTTGTTGCTTGATCCTTCAACAATTTCAATGTCAAAAGAATTAAGGTTGAAATTATGAGAAGAGACAGAAAGCAAACCGGTTTTCCCATATGACAACTTCTCAGCTTCATCATCAAGGTCTAGTGTCATGGTGGCATCATAACCTTCACTTATGCTGTGGCTGTCATTGTAAGATTCTTCACCTGGTTCTTCTGACTCATCTCTCATGTCTCTTCCACAATAGTGTGATCGGTGCTTCTAAATCGATCTCAAAACTTGCGCTTAGACAATGACAATGCCAGGTTCTCATGATCATATTGTAGCTTCCCTTTCTTGTTCATCTCAACCCAATTAGTCAACATTTCCTTACTAGAATGAAAGTTTAAAGGTGGAAACAGAAAAGGTCAACCACCAAAATCAGTGAAACTCAGAAGAATTCAGCATATGAGAATCTTAAGATTGACTTTAATTATTTGCAGTCCTCGTGAATATACCAAATGCGAATCTTAGAACAGGATAAGCAATACTTCTGTTTTCTGGTTGCCATGCCCTGTGCTTTAGGCCATCTTTAGCCAAGGAATAAGTGCTTGGATAGGCACTTAGTTTATAATAACTCCCATATGTAGTTAATCTCTAGGGTTTACTCTGGGAATAGGCTAATATCTGGCCAATCATCACAGCCAATTGGATAATCACTTAGAAATCCCTCAACATGTTACCCCATATGACTACTGAAATTATTCTTTTGATAATGAGAGAAAAACAGTATTTATACCAATTTGCCAATTGCTAACAACAACATCCACTTTTCCTATTACTTTCTCGTGAGCACATAGTATTTTTTTTCATTTTATTTATAAGATAGCTAATCTTATTTTATTTATATACTTACACTGAATCAAACATAAGCCGATCATCAGCCAAGCCGAATAGCTCAGTAGGTCAGGACATACTACAAGTTCTCAAAAAAGCTAAAGAGTTGAAATGAAATGAAACTTCTTCACAAGCTGACAAAAATCCTCATGAGCTAATTTAAAGAAAAAAGGCACTCGCTGGACCCACGTGGATTTGATGGACTAAAGACATAGGATATCGTAGAGAAAACGCTAATTAAATCATACAATTTAGTGAAATCTACAAGAGTCTTAGACGTGTGATCAATTAAAAACAGGGGACATCATCCAACAATAACAACTTTAAAGAGTAAGCAGGCTGATGGTGGCAAAACATGTAACATACCACAACAATATATATATATATATATATATATATATATATATATATATATATATATATATATATATATATATATATATATATATATATATATATATGTGTGTGTGTGTGTGTGTGTGTGTGTGTGTGTGTG